GTGCATAATACCTGAAATTTTACAAGTTAATAAATATGATACCTATTTTAACTTTTATTCTTAGCCAACATATCCATATGTTTCAGGATGTGATTGCCAAACGTGCCTAGAATGTACATTTGCATTAATTATAATTTTCGGCATGACTTCCAAGCAGGAATAAATTCAAAATATCCGAAATTGATATCATCACAATATAGTCTGCAATATAAATCGGAAGTATTGGTGTTCTGTTTTAAACTTATTTTCTCAGTATTCTTCCAAGCACGGCCATTCAATCATTGCTTTGAAAGTGGCCTTAAAAATCTCATCTTGTTCTGATAAAACGGACGTGGAATGACAATAGTTGCTCTCCTGCTTTCACCTTTACGTTAGGCTCTAACTTCTTGCTAAATTTGCTGGTCTTCTTCATCAGAAATGTTCCGACAATTTCGAAAACTGACAAATATAAATCTTACTCTCCCAGAGACTAAAATACTTATCTCAGTCAAGTTAACTAAAATCTTCGAAGGAAATACAAACTATGGCGCACGTTACTTAAGAGTCTTAATGGAGATTAACAAGAAAAAAATAGTTACATAAGAAGTATAGATTTTTTAAAATTAAGATAGAAAATACGAAACTCCTCGTGCTCTACGAAGTATTCCACGAGGTTAATAGATGTAAGTAAATAACTCATAATACAAGGAGATACAATTCAACAATAAAAACATAATAACTAAGTCTGGAAAGAGCAAAGAAAAATATAAAAATACAAATACTACTCGTACTATAATAAAAATACTAAAATATACTATGAATAACTAAACTATGTCAATATTCTTATAAAAGAAAATAAACCGACTTCATAATAATATAATAACAATAAAAATGAAGTAATACTTAAAAATGAAATTGATACAAAGGAAAAATGATGCATCAACAATACAATATACGAGTATTAATACATAATGTAATCATACATAGACAGTAGGCAAAATAATACAACGACACAAAGGATTAAAGTCCAATCATATGAATAATAATATTAAAAGTTCAAATACCAAATAAAGTCGCGCAAGTCTGCAAAGGCTTCGGAACTCGTAACAAGTTCATAGAAAACAGGAAGTCAATAAATAGAGAGCTACCCTGAACTTCCATTAAATGTATTTCTGGCACTCGCATGCAACCTACAATGTAAAATATGCTCCACATCTTTCACAGCATCACCTCAAGCACAAAGTCCACTAATTACAATATGGGAACGAAGTAAATAAATTCCAAAATTCCCATGACAGGTCAAAACCTGAGTAAGTTTATAATCCGTTTGAAAATGCTTCTTACACTTAAGACGTTGAACACTTGTGAAAAATCTATTTGTCCACTGGGCCTTCGAAGAAGCAAGATATTCAATTTCCCAATCAACCACAGTTTTCTCCCAAGCCACATGCTTTCAATAAGCCTTGGGAGTAGACAACATTAAATCAATATCACAAAAAGTCACTTGTTTAGATAAATGGTCAGCCGAGAATAGCACTGTGGCCTCGAACGCGTAGGTAAAATGAATATCTGCAGTTTATCCAATCCCAAGTAATATAAAGCAGGGTTTCTCAACCGGTGGTACGCAAGAGAAAAATAGGTGGTACGGCAAAGAAGCAGGATATTTTTAACTATTAAATTCAAAAATTAAAATCCCAACATCCTGATTGAGTTTTTCCTCTAACACTCGTAAATTTTTGCGATCTGAAAGCTTTGTTCAAGAGTGGTGGTGGTAGTAGTACTTTGTAGTGGTGGCACTAAAGGTTTTCAATTTTTGTTTAGATGGCACGCATTAGTCAAAAGGTTGAGAACCGCTGATATAGAGTCAATTTCCTCCACCAGTTTTTCAGTCGATAGTGTATCAAGTAGAAGAAGGAGAGAAGAAAGTGAATTTGTCCAAATAAGATATTTAAACGTGTCATTCTTACCACAAGAGTTTTGTATCTATTTAACGGCAAGATTTAAGCTCAGAAGCTCGGATGGAGAAACAGAGCATGTATCTAGTATCTTATATTGAACAGCTATATTCTCCTATTGATCTTCATAAATAACAAATGCAAAAGTATTTCGCACAGTTTGTTGTAAAGTAGAATTGTTTCCTTTATGTAGATATTGCATATTTATGCATTCAGATTGGGGAAACTATCTTGATAAACCCCACAAAATGTTTAAAAATAGTATTAAAGACTTATTTAAATATTTGCGCTTTATTTATTTATATTTTATTGTGTAGTTGCATTTATTGATTTTGTTCATCTTATATTTATTTTCACTTATTTAGTATTATTATTATTTAGGCCTTATTTTATTGTAATTTTGAGTACATGTCTTATATGTTTAGCATAATTTTTAATTTCTGGATAGTAACTGCGCATTTATATGCTTAATAATTTTATTTCTTTGTGGCTTTCGAAATTCAAATATATGTTTGAATTCTGTAAATAGTATGAGCAGAACTAAAAATATTGCTGTTCAAATTTACTGATACAACGGATCTTTTCAAAGATTTGGCGGTTTCTAGAAACGTATTTTCGGGAATCTAAAATCTCTTAAAACGATTTTTTTTTTCAGTATGTTCCCTTTCTACTTCGCCTCGTAATCCGTTTTCAATCTGGTTTTTCAATTTTATTTAAGTAATCAGTCATTTTAGTGCTTAATGTTTAAGTATTCTATTATTTTAGTGAGTGTAAACTGGTTCGTTAAACGAATTTACAATTTCGTTGCGCCTTTTGAAATTCGAAGTTGTAAATTTTTTACCGTTAGTGACTTTGCTCTTTAAGGACTAAACATACAGCAGTCTTTCTTACATTAAGAAACATTACGCCAAGCGTTTCGGTTATATGTATTCAACTATTTGATAGGATTGTTGTAGAGTCAGTAGGTTATTTTGAAGCAGGAGATGAAAAATAAACAATGCTGGGACTCGAGCCTGGATCTCTCGAATACGCGCCAAATGTGCTGCCGTTACACCACGAAGGCATGAAGAAAGGAGGGAGAAACTACCTTATATTATTTCTTGCCTGAAACTTCAATAAAGATTCAAGCTGGTTTTTTATCTTGTTGGTTCATATAAGATTCTTGCAGAAACCGTTAACATTCAACAATAGTCAAAAATTACTTAGATTAAAATATGGAAATTTTTAATTATAATGTTATAATATCTAGTTTCATATATAGAAAATATTCATATGCACTAAATTTAGCAAAACGAAAAGCATTAGAGCATCGGAACTGACAAACGCTAAAACAGAAATATAGAATCTCTGTTAGGACATATACCCTTATTCTTACAAATGCGGAACTTCGCTGATTCTCATTTTGTTAATCCCAACTTTTAAATGTTAAAAATGTGAGGCTTCTTTATTATAACAACAAAAAATGTGTTCGAAAATGTAAAGCTCAGTTTGCACAGGTGTATGGCATTGCAATGTGATAACACAGGAATTTGTAGGAGCACAAAGTTGGTATTAGGTGATAGAGGCTTTATAAACGACAAAAACCAAACAAAAAGAAAAGTTCTGGATTTGATTTATATTTATCTTGGATCCAGGTTTTACAATCTGACATGTATATGAAGGTAAATGCCGAGCAGCATTACTTATTTAAATTTAAAATTATTAAATTTTAATTCCTAAAAGCAGAGTACTGAAAACCAGTTTTTCTTTTGCTAAAAACATAAAACCTGTGCAATCATTTGCATACTGAAAAAGGTAATGAATAATTTTAAAGCTTATGCTTATATAGGTTGAGTCTTCAAAGAAACATTTAGCTCCCGGATTAAATACACAGGCATATAATAAATCTGTACTTGAATTTTTGAATTCTCGTAGCTGTAAAATGTACCCATATCAGTATAACGGTAGTGTATATAGAGCGGTAGATAAATACTATATAGATTATATGGACAACTCTGTACAGATTGTGGTTATTCGAATAAGGCAAAACACCCAAGGGACATTGCTGCCTAAGTGTAAAGACGCCCCTTCGGGGGGGGGCTTTTTAATGAAACCTGTCTCATATCCACGTCACCCATAGGGAAAATGACGAAAATTAACCCTGCAGCCAGCCTGTTTGCCTGGGATCGAATCCATATCGAACTACCAGTATTCAGCGGTTTCAACCATTCGGCCACTGTTGGCGTCTACAATTTTGAATATGAGCACCAAAATATAAAAAAGTAGAAAATATTTCAGTCAATTACTTCACAACTTTCATAAAAGTTGGCGAAGTTTGAGAATTAGCACCTAGTATGTACAAATTTAAGTATTAGTTACTTATGAGGGAAGATATAGACATCTGGAGGGCAGTGTTATTAAATTTTTCTCATGAAAATGCCTTATTGAAATGGTTGTACTGCAAGTTAAATCTATGTTACTAAAAATGATAAATTTTTGAATATTTCAGTGGTGAGCCACGAAATTTTGAGCATAGTTTGTCTTAGATAAGAACACAAGAATCTCGAAGCCCAAGATTTACATTCTGCGGAAATTTGAACCAGTTTTATATTTAAAATATTCATAAAATTAATGAACATGTTATAGACGCACGCACACTGTTAGAATGGCACACGCATCTTTTCTGATCTTGAGCACAAGAAATTAAAATTTAAAAATTATGTAGAGTATAAATCTGAAGTAACCAACAGGACTTTTCATAATAGAAGTTTGTAAGCTGGTTTTTAGTAATTAAAGTCTTTAATGTGTTCCTTTTATTTTAATAGTTAATAGCTTGCTCGGACAGCCTTTGGTGTGGCATGCTTAACCCATTCCGACGAATGCGTGCCAGGCTTAAGGTCAGCCAAGCAAGATAAGATTAATTTCTTATTCAGATCAATACTACTAAGAAAAACACTGTTAAAATGCTCATTTAAGTACGAAAACAGTTAATTGGCTGTTTCGAAATTTTAGAGGGACTCTACTAAGTGTAAGAACAAAGCAAAATTTGAAAAGGAATTTAATGGCTGACTAAAAGTATGTACTTACCTAGGAATAAAATTGGCAAAATATCGGATTTCCTTTAGTGAAGTATCTGATCGTCGTTTGTGTTCAGACATAACAATGAGGGCACAGTCAGCAGAATAACTTGGATTTAGAGGCGTTGGTCGCGGGTTGGAATACGATACTGGCTGACCGATGGTCAGCAGCGTTGCCGTAACCATCAGGTATCTAAGGGGAGAAAGTTAAATCTTAATACTAAAGAAAATTATATCGGCTTTGAAAATTCAACTCAAAACTTCTGATTTGTTTTTGTGCCATTTCTGATTTAATAACAAAGAAAATGAGATTGATATAAATTTAAAATGCAAAAATTCATCATCTGAACTTTATCTAGAATCCTTTTACCAGACAGTTTTAAGTGACCAACGTAGGAAATGTAATTTAGCAGAGTGGACAAGGGGAAATTGCAGCAGAATTGACAGCAACAAAAAATTATGCATTAAATCGTTAATTACAGTGTAGAATCATTCTTTAGAGTTTTTCCGAAGTCAGGAAATGGAAGAAATCCACAATGACCTTGCCGGTATCCGAACTCCGGACCTCCCGAATTGGCGTCGAACGTGTTTCCAGTTACATCACGAAGATATGCGGAAAAGAATGAGCAGGTACCTTATATACTTCCTCTTTTAAAGAACGATTGTATATTAGGGGACCTAATGGTGGTGATTCTGTCGGTCTTGTCTTCTGTTTAGTTCGGGGAACACTTGTGGAAACTTTTTGAATTTTTTGAAGTCGGAAAAGGGAGGAAATCAGCATTGTCCTCGCCGGCTCTCGAACTTTGGGTCTCCCGAATACGCGTTGAGCGTGCTTCAAGTTACACCTCGAAGCCATGTGGAAAAGAGGAAGAATATCCCTAATAATAGTTATCAAGAGTGCATAATAACAGTATTATACCTCATAACAGTTATAATTGAAAAAAGAAGAGCTACGTTAAAGAATACACTAGAAAGATACTACGTTTATACTAGAAAGTATAAGCTTTATAAATAATAATTGAAAACTAGAATTTTATGAATTAGGAAATATAACTGGAAAAGTAAGCAGGATTTTAAAATTTTAAATTTAAATTTTCAATGTAGAATAAAATAAAATTATCTATACGTAAATTAATTTAACATTGTACTTGAAAAATGTCATTAAAATGTCGTCATTAATTTTATATGCATTAGAAATCAAGATCTGTTAAAGCATTAGTTGTATTTAAAAGCTGTTAGTTTCCTACACATTTCGTGCAATAATTAAAATGGCACAATTCATTGAATTGTAGGATTTTATGTTAATTAACCAGTAATTATGATTTGAACATTTGCTTCTTCGTTTTACCTTTACTTCTTCTTTAACTTTTTCTTTCCGTAATCCTTACCAGAATGCAAAGTAGTTGTTGTGTACTTAAGTGGAGCGTTTAAATGTTTTATAGTTAGAGCTTCCGGCAGCCTCGCATTGCAGCTACGCACTATGGCCAGCTCTTCCAAAGTTTTATTCCGGGTTTAGTATATTGCTGGCCGACTTCTAGAATACAGGCTGTTAATTATCTTGAGCCAGCGTAAGTAATTCTGTGTGTAGTCTCAAACTACGTTACCTACATTGAAATTAACTTCATCTTATGCTATTTTAAGTACTCGCAAGTAGCAGAGATTCGCATGTTGTACAAGTTGTGCCTTCTGTTCATTTAAGAGTTAAATAACTTTCTTACGACTAAGTCATCTACTTTAGACTAAGGCGATTACTCGCTTCTTAGTCCCGTATAGGATCTGCAGGACATTGACATACTATTCTGGACATAGCAGAACCCTACAGAATAAAATCATAGAAACTGCTCACGTAACCTTATAAATTATCGTATAACTGGTAAACGCATTGTGCTTTCTTTATCTTCAGTTGTGTCTTCCACGTACATGCGAGAGTTGCCAATTTGTATGGTTACAGAATTTTACGGAAGCTGATCTCGTTCTAAATTTAATTTAAATTTTTTAACATTGCGTTATAGTTCTGGGTATATGAGTTCTGGGTTTGTTGCGTGACATACGAAATGAAATCCGCTACGTTATATTAGGGAATTATTTCAGTTTGCTGCTTTTAGAAAATAAGGTTTGCTGAGTTTGCGAAAGTTAATTTTCAAGTTTAGGAAAAGATTCCAGATATATTCTCAAGACGCAGATGAGTAGAGTTTTTTATGTTATTGTAGGTGTGTCTAATTTGTAAATAGAATTGTATTAATGTTCAAAAATTTCAGAATGGTTATTTTATTTTGTCGTAATTTACTACATATTCTACGTCGGAGTCCATTTGCTTTTAGGTGTGTTGTAAGGATCTTAAGTTTTACTAACGTTTATTTTTATTTTAAATCTTTACTATCACTTCTTATTTTCTACTTCCGGCCAGAATTAAAAGCTTTAACTTATTTATGCAAATTTGTCTGGCGAACGCCAAGTACTTAAGTTGTGGCTTTTTGCCAAGCGAGAGAGAGGAAGGAGTTAGTCGAAGCAGGCCGCTTACCTTAGCAGTTTTACACAGTTGCTGGTTGACTTCCAGGCCAGAGGTTTAATCCTCGTGATAATTTTTAAACGTATTGTAGTGTTAACAGTTCTCTGTACTATATATACGGCTTCCTGTTAATATAAGGCCAATCTTCCACGTAGGCCCTTGTTTATTATTCAAAAGTTAAGTTAGAGTTTAGTTAAATATTTTTATATTCTTACGTTCAGACCACAAGTAGTTGGTCTCTGTATTCCGAAGTACGGAAATTATTGTAAAGAGTGAAAAATAAAGGGTTTCGTGTACCCTTCCTGTGTATCTTGTCTACTTCCCACATTTATTGAACATAGCTTTAGTAAGCTCCCTGTTCCGAGTCAAGTCCTTGCATGTTCCCAAAGAAAGTAAGGCGGAACATCGAACCTGATAGTGTAAAGGAATAATATCTAGCGTTAAGCACATTTTTTGCATATGGTTTTTATGCTCCTTCATGTCATTGATTACCTTATCCCCATAGACTTATTTAAAATTTTGAAATTTTTTTATTTTCTATTTCATATTTGGTAAAACTTTAATGAATTTTTTGATTAACAAAATTATTTAAAAGCGAGCAATAGCAACGCTGTACGAAAAAAAAATTATCTCTAGTGCAATGAGCTTGTGTATCGGAAATTCTTAAGATATGCTCATTTTAAAATTGTATTGCGATATCGCTGTGTAACTGAATTTTATGATTTAAGTGTGATGAACATGATATTTAATAAATAAAGGTAACAGACAAAACATTAAAAGAAAGTCTCTTTCGGCTTAGTGTAAAATCTGAAAGCTGTCAGATTTTTTTTAAATTTCTTGTTGACAATATTACCTATCATAGCTTTAGATATTGAAAAACCATGGCTTTCACAGTGTTTTTTAATAATTAAGTATGAAAAAATTTCTTCAGAAAGAGCACAAACGTAGCTTTCCATCCATTCTTCTTTAAAAGTGCCATTTCGCATGAAAACAAAATTGTCAAGTAGCAAACGATAATTTATACTTTCAAAAATATACCTTCAGTTAAAAACAAATTTCCAAGCAGATGATTTTTTGGAATTTTTGCTTGTTAATTTGAACAGTAAATTCAGTTGCCGTTTGAGTGTTCTTATGTGGTGGTTATCAATCTAGTGGATTTTTTTCCCTGTATGTTTTTGCTATTTTTTCTGCATATATTTTGTTAGATAACCAGTTGCTATGGATCTATCCATGATGTTGAGAGAGGTGAGTGAATGTACATCTACATTTATTACTTTATTGGAAGTTCAAAGGAAACTTGACATGACTGAACGGTGTATGAAAGTTGGTTTGATTGCTACTTTCTTTATTTGTTTGAAATGTGGTGATAATATGCGTTTCTGTCAGAGAAAGGGAAGTAGTTTGAATGGCAATGTAGAAAGCAAGGAAAAGTGAATGCGCAATGCGCATGATGTTTGTAGGAGTATAAGAAAAGGTTCATGGCTTAGTCATAGCTTATTGAGTATATGTGATATTTTGGAATTACAAGGTGTTGGTTTTTGAAAATGGGAAATGTATCTGCGATTCAAGAAGTGAAAGTGCATGAGCATGTTGTTATTGATTCGTTTATGTTTTGCAGAGAAGTGTGTATGACGACTGTGATAAATGATAATGTTCCTATTCGTGGTAAAGGAGTGATTTTTAAAGTGGATGAGAGTAAGTTCAGAAAAATGAAGTATGGCAAAAGAAGCCTAAGGACGGTCATTAGGTAATTGGTGCAAAGCTTAAATTGCGGCGGTACTTCGGTTTCTGACGTAAATATTGATGCTAGCCAGAACAAAAAGGGCTCCAGAGCTTTTTTTATATCTCATTATTTATTTTTATTTTACTTTTTATACGGGAGAATATCTAGACTTTTCATGTCCACTGCTTAGACATTTGGTACAAGTCTCTAATCAATTACCAAGAGCTTGTGGCATCCATGCCAAGGCGAATTACAACTGTTTTGCAGGCCAAAGGTTGTTTGTTGAGTTGGAGCATAACGCGCCAAAGGGAAGCCAAGCTTCAAGAAGAAGAAGAAGAAGAAGAAGGTTGTTTGCCACGAATATACAATATTTAAAAACGATTGCATGCTTAAAGAGATCTTGAAATATTAATTCACTTAGTCATGGCTCCAGTTTAAGTAATGAGTAAAACATTCAGATTTTAATAATTTTGGTTGCGTTACATCTTTTATTAAATCATTTAAAATACTTAGAAGTTAAATTTTTACGCAGTTTCTTTACGAAGAGTGTTGTTCTACAAAGTTGTTTCTTATCTTACAAAAATATTTTCTCTCAGGTAGGAAAGGATAAGCTCGGCAATAAGCAAAATTGTCCTGAAACATTTCGTTGAAAATTATATGTCATTAGTCAATTTCATCCAAAATCCAAGATGAATAGGTTTTGGAGATATATCCTCACCGAATTTCAGTAAATACAAAACATCTAATTTTAGAATTTTTAACAATGGTTATTTAAAACCGCTAGCTCTAACTTGATGTTTATAGAACGTAAAAAAGGGATCTTTTAGGAAGATTCGCATTCAAAAACTTAACAGGTATAGCCATCTTGCGACATATTTGTTTACACTGCAAAATTTTTAGTTTCTGACATCTCAGAATAATTTTAGTCATATGAGGGCGGACACTTTTCTGCTATTATTAC